TGCATGGCACGTCCGAAAAGGACAATCACACGTCCACTTCCCCAAGTTGCACGCGCATTATGGACCGATTGTGCGCATAGCACCCGACCAAGTCCTAGTGTGTGACGAAAACGCCATCAAAACCGTCTATGGAGCAGCGACGTCGTTCACGAAAGGGGATTGGTACCGCATAGCTGGCGCACCTGACAAAAGCCGGAAACCCGCCGAGGAGGTTCTCGATATGCTGACAGAAACCAACATGGAGAAGTATCGCAGGCAAAGAAGAGCCATTGGGCCGGCCTACAGCATTGCGGGGTTAGAAAAACATGAGGGATTACTTGATGCCTACATCGATCAGTTCGTTGGCAGGCTGAAAGAGTTTGGAGGGAAAGAGGTCGATCTTGCGGAATGGACTCATATATTCTCCTTGGAGTCTATGAGCCAGTTCACTCTTGGCAAGAGACCAGGATACACGGAGAAGGGCAGTGACGAAGGGAACGGAGATGCCAGCGATGCGTTATGGCAATGCTTCACTGTGATTGGCATCTTCCCAGGGTTCGTAAACCTGATGCATGCGATTCCCAAAGTCGGCATGTTGCTGGTCCTACCCGCGTCGCTACTTTTGGGTGTAAGACTACCGAAGGTTTGGCCCGTCTTCAGCTTCTCTGCTCCGACCATCATGCAGAGGTTGAAAGCACTGGAAAGCACGAGAGATGTTAAGTTCCCTGGTGACCGTCCAGGTCTCTTCCATGACCAAGGGACAGATACGGAGACTATGGAGCAACACGTGGATGGCATTGAAGAGACGGATATGCTTGCTACTTTGATGCGCCTCCATCATGACAAAGAAGCGCGTTTCCCTCCTTCCTGGGTTCTTTCAATCGCACTTACCAACTTCGGTGCCGGACACGACACACTCATGTTTACACTCTCCTCGGTCATCTACCATACGTACAAGTCGCCAGCCATTCTCGCCCGCCTACGCAAAGATATGGAAAGTCAGGGCATCTCAAAGAATACCAAATACTCCGAAATGATCCAGAAGGTACCATTGTTCCTCGCCATTATGAAAGAAAGCATGAGGATTTGGCCTACGCTCGGATGGTACATCCCTCGCCTCGTGCCCGCTTCCGGAGCTACACTATGCGATACCTACCTTCCACCCGGGACTACGGTCGGGACTAACCTCTGGGCTTCACACTTTGATCCTGAGGTCTTCGCAAATCCAAATAAGTTTGACCCAGATAGATGGCTTCCTGGTGGTAGCAAGGACAAGATGAAGGAGATTGGCAGAATGGACAGTATGTGGATGGGATTCGGGGGTGGAGGTAGAAGCTGCCCTGGACAGCATCTCGCGAGGTTCTTCGTTGTCAAGACATTGGCTCGTTTGGTTATGCAATGCGATTTGGAGGTGACGGGAGAGCCGAAAATTGGCGGTTGGTTTCAGTGTACGATGAAGGGCGTTGGTATTAGCATCAAGGAGAGGAAGGTGTACGGATAGGAGTGAAGGAAAGGTGGCGCGTACGTCTGCGTCTCGGAGTTTTGCAGTAGGTGCAGACGGCCTCCTGTCCGGTAAGCTTTCCAGGCGGGTACCTGATATCATTTCGGCAGTCGATCCTTGTTCTAGTATTGGTAGATTGCGATAGTGGTGACGAGGAGGCGGCGCTTCTGCAACCAAAGGTGCGGCCCGAAGCGTCGGAACGAAGACTTCCGATCTCGGAACCGCCCAGCGAGCGCATTCCACCTTCACACCCTTTGGCTTCAACGCTGAACACCTTGAGGTCCAAATCATCTCTCATGCCTCATCATGTGCATTTCTCTCATCCCGCGAGACTTCCTTTCGGTATTCTCATAGCCTGATATGCCCCGCCGATCGCCGATCGCACTCTATCCTGCTTGATTGTGGCGCCAGTCGTCCAGTGACGCAACAGGAAATCAGCCCCCAATTGTTCTCCATGCAGCGGCACGGCACGGGGAGTATTAGCAGAATGCTTCGCGTTCCATCGATTCGAGCTGTATACACTCTACATGTCTGTCAGCATGGAGTACAATTCAGGTAAGGATTGCTCAGATAGCGCAGTATTACCTAGTAGCTTGCGTCCATCCCAAATTGTAACGGGGCTAATGAGACTCCAGCAGGCCGGGGATCAGATGAGATTAGCGAATTTCCTGACATCATAGTCACATCGCACGATGAGCTCAACACGCCGGGAAGACCGCGCATCGATCTTGAACCTTTGTTCTACGATGGCCATCGCCAATATGGAACTAGCCCGGGGAGGGGGGATGCTGCGAGGAAGGTTCTTGAAGATTGGGAAGAGAGATACAAAGCCAACCCAATCTCTCAGGTCGATTTCTTTCGCCCGGAAGAGCTAGACTCAATCTGCGGCGCCTCTTCAAGAGACGAGGACGACAAACTGGAACTTGACGTTGGTGATGAGCTGCTGACGGACCACACGGTACCCCAAATCGTTGTTCATCAGCCAGACGAATCCAACGCGTCTGCAGGTTTCACCGAGAAACCATCGTTGAAGAAAGCACTTCCATTAGGGCAGGAGGCACGTTTCGCGCCGGTGAATAATCTCGAGAATACACTGAGGCCCGCTATCCGTCTACGACGACATAGCTTTAGTAATGTCTCCGTACAAGACCTCACCAGGGAGCCAAATTTGAACGCGTTCGCGAAGCCAAAGGTCCACCCAACACCACAGCCATGGAGTCGCATCGACGCGGGCCCGAAAGGTGGATGGAAGATGCGTTCACGGTGTTCGCCTTGGCCAGAGAGCGGGCACCTCGTCGATATTGTGGTAGTCTATCTATACAACTCCGGCTTGTGTGACACGTCTACGGACGCCGATATTGACCTAGACGCTTTCCGACACCAAGCCAAGCCTCACGTGGCAAGCCTTAGTAACGCTCCAACGCAGCCGATTCGCCGTGCACGAACAGATATTGGAAAAATGCATCATCAAGTTTTGCCGACCATTTTCACGAACACCCAAAACCGCATAACCTTTGAGAGCGTCAATCCTCGACCCGTCAGCTGGATACAGGATGAGAACATGCTGCAAAAACGATTGCCTGGCAGCCGGGTTATCACTGTCGGCTTTGACTTGTCTTCCATGCTCTCTACCGTACCTGATTTCGAGGCTGCAGCGCAGCAACTCCATGAGCGTTTGTGTCAACTACGAGAACAGCGTCAAGCACCCATTGTGTTTCTTGGTCACTCATTCGGCTGCTTAATCATACTGCACGCGCTCGTATCGCTTATTCCTAGCCCTGTTTTGGCCTCGAACGTCTTACCCCATACCGCGGGAGTGTTTTTCTTCTCTTGTTCACTTTCTGGTCCTGAAAAGTGCGCTCGATCGTTTACCAAGATCCATGAAGTGAAGCCCAATGGAAAGGTTTTCAATGACCTCCTCAGCAGCGCTTCCATGAGCCAGATGCGCGAGAAGGCTAAGACCAGCTTAGTATCTTCACGACAAGGGCAACAAGACGCGTCTAGAGGTCTACTACGTGGGAATCAGAGTTCATCAAACATCAAGAATATCGCGATCGGGTTTCCAATAACCCAGATTTACGCCCAAGGAGATGATCAAGGGACTGGTCAGGGCTCAATTAGCGAACTCTTGGGCACTCCGACCCGTACCTTGATGTTCTCCCGGGATGCGGCACACGTGCTCAAGTTTGCCGCTCTCGACGACGTGGACTTCATGCGATTGACAATGCTAATGAAGGCCAATGTCCAATTGTTTGGTCTTCTGCGAGCGTCCATCGACAACAACCCAAGGGAGGTAGACGCCCTACTCAAAGAGGGTGTCAACCCCAATCTGCGTGACAGGCTGTAAGTGTACAGGTCTTTCTTAGCTTCGGGGATTTCGAGTCGATATAGTGCGACCTTGTACCGTGCTACAAAGTATGTCTTCTGGGACATATTAGTAAGCCGGGTGCACTCCATGAGATGCACTTTGAGTAATAACTGATCATGTCAAATAGGCACCAAACGCCACTTCAAATTGCCGTACGACTCAATCATGAGAAACTTGTTCACAGCCTTCTCAACGTCGACGGGCTGGATGTCAACGTACGTGATAGCCAGCTGAATACACCACTCCATCACGCAGTCCGCAACGGAAAGGAGACGATCATCACGGCTTTGTTGCACCATGGCGCAGATATTGCAGTGGAAAACACACACAAGCGAACGCCAAAAGCCCTTGCCGAGAGACATAAATCCCGTAGGCACATAGCGAAAATGTTGCGTAGTCGCGTGGTGAGAGGACCAGATCATCGTCCCAGCGCCCAGAGGATTGGTAACGGTCGACCACCCACTTCGAAAGAAGGTAAGTTAGCCTGCAAGAATTATCAAGTCACGGTCACGGAAGTGTATGTGTCAAAATCTAGCGACAAGCATTGGAGTGTGAACATTTCTGTCGAAGCGCTCCTGTACGGAAGCACCCCTTTGAAAGATATCCTTGGGCAGGTGAGGCCCAAAGAGCTTGCCGCGAAAGTACCAGTCTGTACTTGGGTGCATGTTCCAGAAAACAACGTAGGTTCACAGCCCATCTGGAATCCTCTTGCACATCGCTGACTTATCACAGATGGTTTGGGTCGAGGTATGTAGCGTGTTGATTCCGATTACTAGCGTTAACCTAGGTCAGGATCTGTTTTCGAAGCTAGGCCTACATCCCGCTATATGGCAGGAAACGAGGCGATCTGTTACAGGATCTTTGAGCAACGTGCGTTACGTGTGTAGCTGTTCCCACGTTTACTGAATAAAACAGCGAGCCATAACACCTCACATCGGAACGAGTGATCATAATTCAATCTTTGTATGCTTCGTATCATAGCTTTTTGATGAGTAGTGCTGACGTGCTTAGATCCCTTTCTTGAGCTATGAAGCCAACATGCGACACGAAAGACGGACGGAATATGTTCATGAGGTCGACCAACAGCACTCACTGCAAAATACCACCGATGCGAACATAGCAGGATCAGTGACAATGGAAGTCCTACGCAATATGTCGCACAAACTATCGTCAAAAGAACCCGAACTTCTACAAGTACCTGTCAGACACAGTCTGAATTTCCAACCATCATCTGACGATTGTGACTCCGATTTCTCAGACACCTATGACGCGGACGATCCTGATGATCTGGAAGAAGAAGAAAAGGCATTGGTCACCGCATACCTACATGACCCTCCAGCTCTGCATATCCGACGGTAAGTTGCTACTCGTTTGCTTGAGTATATCTGCTAATGATGCAGGACGTTGGACCAGTACTACTACCATATGCTTGACAACACGAAAGAGCGCGACATGGACCAGGTAGTGTCTCGATGGGCAAAACAGATGAAATCCGAGACTCGGCACAACATTCTTATGGTGGATCAACTTTGGCTTTGGTCTACTCATCAGAAACCGTCCCCATACAAAGCTCAAGACAAGGCGTCTGAAATTCGAACAAACCGTGAGCAGATGGGCATGAAAAATGGAAGCTCTCTGGAGGAAGAGCCTCAGGACCACTACGTCATATCTTGCTTCCCAAGCAGAACAGGGACGGGCCAGCATGCGCACCGCGTTATGGACGATCTTAGACTACTAGTCTTGGATCCGACGCACCGCAAACGATATCCCATCCGTAAACCGGAAGACCTTACTTCACGCATATTGGAGACCTGCTGCAGTGTTTTTGATCGACTACTAGATGCGGAGCCGCTCCGCTTCTTCCAGATGTTCGAAGAGAGTGTTGGAACGATAGTAAGTTTTGAAAGTAATACTCTGCTCACTATGGCTGACTGTAGAAGGACGACAATGAGAGTCGGCTCTTTCGAGCGTTCCAACGCGGATCCACACATCTTATGCAGCTCAAAGCGACCAACAAGTACTACGAAGAGAAAAAGAACAAACTTCTCGTCGATCTTCTGGATATCCGCGAGGAGGTGAAGCTCCTAGTTGAGATAAAGGACATCCTCGATGAGATCAACATCATTCTTTCGGTACTAGACATACAACGGACGGTCATCAAGCAGCGACGGAAGGCGGAAGGATTCACTTTCCTAGGCTCGTCAGCTGCAGAGGTTCTCATCAAAGCCGACATAGATGACTTCAAGAAGCTTGAAGGTCACAGTCGCACAATACAGGAGAAGGTATGGCGGACATTGCGAAGAGCAGAACCGAGCTAAGTCACAACAGATCAATACTTTGATGGACCTCAAACAAAAGGCTGCAAATGCCTGGGAAGCACGAGAAGCTCGTGAAACAACAGTTGCGGCGAGTAAACAAGGAAATGTGAGCAATCTCCATATTGTTTTGTTTTCCGCGGCTCACAATTTGCAGACGATCTTGGTATTCACGATCGTGACCATAGTGTTTCTTCCCTTGTCCTTCATGTCATCCTTCTTTGCAATCGGCATTGCCGCTTTTCCCAAGGACAATGTCACTGGAGAGACCAACTGGCCGCTCGGCATCGTTACTGGGTTATTATGTAAGTGACGTTCCCCATTGGCGCTTTCATTATGCCTCCTCTCGCTAATACATCCCCACAGTCGGCATTTCTCTCAGCGTTTCCATTCCCCTCATCGTTCTCGCACTGAACATGGAGCACTGCGCAGCGACTTATCGAGAACTACGCGACAACTACTTCGCGCGCATTGGGATGTATCTTATCGCGTTAGCGGTACCCGTAATACCAGAAAGATGGGCCAACATATTGGTGGAAGAATGGAATGCAAAGCTGCGAAGACGCTATGAGGCGTATACAGAGGATGGGTCACGAGACATCATGTCTAGCTCCACGTTGATGGTTCACAAAGAGCGAGAGGAAACATCGATAAATTAAGTGTAGTAGCGAATCAGATGGAATGAATTCGATGGAGCATGCTTCTATTGTAAGCTTAGCTACAGTGCTGACAGCCAGAGCGATAGCACGTTGCCTTAAAGGTTTTACTTTGTATACCATGAAACTAAACAGGCCTGCAGCCTACATAACGATAAGATCTCACAATTTAGTCAACCCAACGTTTGTGTATGCTCTGAGGTGTTGTTGAAGTCTTCGCAACAACACCCTCAGCCAGCTGCCATACCCGGGCGAGCACCTCCTCCGCCACCTCGCTTCCAAGCCAAGCGCGCGCCTTTTCAACAACCAACTCCCAAGTGTCCTCCTCACCCTGCATCTTCTTCTCCAGAAACAAAACTACGATTGCAGTAGCCAGAAGTTGCTCTGATTCTGGCCCGTTGAGCTTGGCTTTCGATGAGCTAGCGGCGTCACGGTCGAGCTTCATCTCATCAAACGGAAGCTTATCGATAGCTTCCCATGACCCTTCAAAGGACTGCCGTGCGATGAGGCGCTGAAGGAGGGTGCCGGTCTCTTCCTGTACTTTCTGCCTTTGTGGTGGAGAGAAGGAGGGGCCCATGGCCGACCGACTCGACCGTTTCGACGAACCAAACCGACCCCTTGGTTCTAATACTTGCGCGGGAGATAACGTGCGCAGCGCTGACGGTTGGCCAGGATGAGCCATGGGTGCTGCACTGGCTTTCTCGAAACATCCAAAACCCATGTCTTGGTCAGAGTCGGAATCGTCCACTGCGTTATTCATACCAAATAGTGCAGAGCCAGCAGCCATGTTTCTGGCTTGGAAGTGCCCGCCTTGTCCGCCTCCGCCGCCTCGCCCGCCTCGCCCGCCGCCAGTACGGCCAAAGGGACCGCCGCCGTAGCCTCCACGGAACATAGGGGAGGGTCCAGAACTCGCCGACGCGGATGCAGGTCCACTGCCAAATCGGGTATCGCCACCATAAGAAGCGGCTACTGGTGATCTGCATGCTTGGCCATGCTCCACGACCTCCCAGTCATCGTCATCCGCTAGATCACTCCGTTTGATTGTCGATTCCAGAGCTTTTTGGCGTTTGTCGACGATTTCGGCCTCGTTAGACTCTACAGCTACAAATGAACAGTACTTGCCGCCGACCTGGAACTCGACTCCAAGACGAACAGCCTCTCGTCTCTGAAGCAACAGATACTGGGAGCTATATTTGTTCTTGAGCAGGACGTCAGTATCGCCAACGGTAGCCTCGGATAGCCATCCATGACCATCTTCGAGCTCCTGTGTTGCTTTACGTGCAGCAAGTTGATGAATCATCTCGTCAGTCTCTTTGCGGACTTCGACCGGAATTTCGAGCTCCAACGGGCCTTGGGGTGAGGTGCCCTTGAGGACAACACTCTTTGGTTGCAAATGTGATGACTCTGGAGACATGAGGAGATAGACACAGGTGCGATTGAACGGGAAGAGCGCTGGTATCTCGTGAGGTGTCTGCAAAAGCGTCGGGCGCTTAAGTTCCGGTAGGCCCGCGAAGATGTCCTTTGACTCGCCGTCCTTGGGATGCTCTTCCGCTGCGTCCGGATTATAGATCGAGATGGGCTTCGCGTCGGCGTCTGGGGCTTTGGTTTGCTTGTCGTCGTTATCGTTGTCCAGGTGAAGGTTAATACGAAGGTTGTCGGCAACAGACTCGACGCTGTCATCTTCGTATTTGACTTCGAGACGGTAGTCCTGGATATGAGGGGTGAGTGCACCCTTCAGCATGCGAACAATCTTGCTATCAAGCTTTTCGTTATTTGCAACCATCTGAGCGAAGCCTCTTCCGGCCCTCGCGACGCCTTCAATGAGCGCACTAGACACACCTCCGCCTATACCGATGGGGAAGACACGGACGTTGCCATTCTTCGTGTTTTTGGAGATGTAATCGAACAGCTGGTCTTGAGCCCAAATGTCGCCATCGGTAAGTAGCATGAGCTCGGTAGGAAGTTCGGTGTTGCGAGCTTCGAAACAGGCCTTGACCGCTGTGAGGGTCTCGGTCCCGCCAAAATTGGCCCCGAACGCTTCTACATGTCGAATAGCCTCCTCCAGTGTATCTTGGCCATACAACTGACTCTGTTTCCAAAGAAACGAGTGACTGCTACCGAATGAACAGATGTTGAACGTGCAGCCGATAGGGATCGATTTCAAGAAGACCTTGAGTGCCGACACCAGCGTGGGGATCTGATCGCCCATGCTACCCGATCGATCCGCAATGAAGATGATCTCAGGCTTTTGCGACTTGAGGTTGAACTTCGGTACCAGTGTGGTCATCAATGCTCGCTGATTGGCGAGCGTTGTGTGGGTCTCCAGGATCGCCTGAGGTACGCCGACGTCTTTTGCAACCACCTGTAATACGAAGTCCTTGTCTAGACCTGTAGTACCTAGGGAAAGCGTGGCTGAACCTTGCGAGAGCAAGGCTTCCTCATCTATGGTACTTGTTGAAAGCGATCCAAGCGTTACTTCGATGGGATGTGATGGCGAGATGACCTTCTTGATAGGAATACCTTCTGCCATCTTGACATCCACGGTAATGGAGATACCCTTCGAATCAATCTCGGCCGATGTCTCTTGCAGCTTTCCGGGATAGGATCCGTAACGGGGCGAGATAGACGCAGGGATGGTAAGACGAATTCCATCGACTTCGGCATCGTGCTTCAGCTCTTGGATGTATTTGATGGACACATGCACAGATGCGCCTCCGGGAACGTTGCTGATAGCAGTTGAGAAGACATCCGCCGCCTCATCTAGTCGTTCGAGGAGCGCTGCGGCTTCGCCTTTCTCCTTGGCCTTTTCGTAGGTCTTCTTGGCTTCGTTCTTCTCCTTGACTAGGCCGTAGATGGTACGCTCGCCGATTTGGCAGAAGAACTCGACAACGCTGACGCCGTCGAACAACGGAAAGGCATATCGAATCTCATCCAATGACTCCTGGGACCGGTTCACGAATGTCTGCGTCAAGGTAGTGCGGGCGGCCGTGGAGATGATCGTCGTGTGGGCGTCAACCTTAATTTGGGGGAGGTACGTTCGCTCCCGCGTTCCGGGATGGGAGATGTAACAACCGCACACGTGGCGCATCGTTGCTGTTCTTGTTCGAGGATTGATGGGATGAGAGGAAAAGTTGTTGGTGTCTGTCAAGAAACAGCGCGTACGTTCCTGATATACTTGACCGGCCGGCTGCTGCCTGTTACAACCTTGGGTGGGGAAGTTCCTACCACAGAGGTATGATAGGCCCCCAATGGTCGTGCCAAACTTCGAGCTCATGAGTCACAAACTGCGGGGGTCGTACCATCAAAAGGGTCCGGATCACGGTGTTGAGAGCCCCATAACTCGTTTGAAGCTGTTCCCATTGACGAGCCTTTCTCTTTTTTTGGTAAGTACGTTACAGTCAGTACTTGTTTTATTCGACCATTCGAGATTTTCAAAGCTCGCAGAATGAGTCGCATCCCACACTCTGACGGCTACATGCCGCATAACATCGTTGAGTTGTTACTTTGTGCTGCGTTGCAGCCTCCACGGCTACCTGGACTAGGTAGTCAGGCATCCTAGATTCTGGGGGCGGCCCGGCGCAACCATCAAGCAACGCGAGAGATGGCTGGGACGATGACTCCTACACAGCGCGCAAAGATGAACGCGACCGCATTTCGTGATGTCGCGCGTGTGGGTTGACGGAGGAGAGAGACGCCGAAGTGTCGCGTCGCCCGATTTCTCAGACACCAACTGTGTCATGACGTCAGGCATCATCGCACACTTTTGAAACCTCGCGTCTGGCCGCAATGATATATACGTCGCCCATTAATTTCTCTGGTACTGTTTTTCTAGCAATAATACCTCGCCAGCATAAACGCGCAAGATGGAAATCCCTGGGTACGACGCGCTGGTGTATTACGCCACACCACCCAACAGCTACATCGGCACCACCATCTTCCTCTCCTACATCGTCGCGGCACTTTACGCGACCATCAAGATCAGCTACTCGCTCTACGCTCAATACACAGCCATATTCAACACTTCTAGCCCGTCAAAAGATGAGAAGCTCAATGCAGCAAAAGCAGCGCGAGCGCGCCACATCAAGATCTACGCGTTCCTCGCTTCGATCAGCTTCGCGACATTATCCTACCACATGCTCATGTTCCTGATCGCGCACTACCTGGAATGGAGCGGTGATGAGAGCAGGAACTTCAGTAATGTCAGCGTGGGGAAGGCGAAGAGATGGATGCTGGAGTCGACTTTGTTCCAAGATTTCGCGCAGGATCTGGTCAAAGACGCGCCGAACGCGGTGTGGACGCAGGCTGCGATTCTGGCGACGTGGTTTTGGAATATTTATATGGCGCAAA